ATAAGCCCTGTGCGGTCCTTCCTTTTGTCAACCGCATAAGTAACGTCGTTCAACAAGCGGAACTCCTATGTGGGCCCATCAACGCCCATAACCTTCACGCCGGGCAAACTCAGTCGGTCAGGTAAATCCTCTTCGCTGTTCATTGTTGCCTGGAGGGAACACTGGCCCCTTGCGCAGGTTGTCATTTGCTTCGTGTCACGACTTGCCCTTTTTGTCGTCAAGTACGCACTTCAAGCTACCTGCAGGTCCTCGCCAGACCACCCTGCCTTCCATAGCCGTAAAGCGACTTCACCAAGCTCACTGCCGGCTATAAATACCGAAGTCAAGCTATCGATCACAGGAGGCCCCCAAAAGATAAGCCTCAAGTACGACTATGACGTATAGTCCACAAATGACACAAGTGAAGCATAGTATAACCGTGTGACAAAACATTCACACAAGAAATGTATAATTCACAGGTAAAATATGTAAACATTCGCAAACGAGTGTACATTCGCATCTCTACCATAAATCGATTAACGAAGTGCGTGTAAGGTAACAACCAAACACCTTACGCGAGTATAAGACAACACGAAATTTGCGTATTCATACCGATTATAACCTAAGACGACTAGGAAAGACGGTAAAATGAACGTGACGCTAAAATGTCGTGACAACATGGATGCACGTCGTATGACGCGACAATGTCACTGTGCTCCGCTGCGCTGCTCCCCAGCCCCACGTTCCCCTGTTCATTCCCCGTGTCCTTGCTTGGTAGCGAACCCTCCTCCACCACCACACCGTCAAGGAGCCTGAAGAGGGACGCCACAGGTTGATTGCTCAAGGCTAGTACGACTACTTGGACCTCCCTTCAGTGAGGTCAGCGCTAGTGCGTGGTGTCATCATCTATCTTTACCTCCCTCTCGCAAACTATCCAACAACCTGCAGCGGCAGCCAGCCAGTTCAGCGGGTTCCAATCATACATCGGCGCATGAATAACATCAGGCTGAGTGCGTGCATGGTCACAACACCGTTGACCGCATTTTTGGGCGGGGCCCCGATTTTGATTTCATTTCTTTATGAAGTACGCAAGCTGCTCGTTTGTACAATTACAATTGCAAGGGGCCTCCGAAGACTTGCAGTGTGCCGCGGAAGCTGTGGGGTGGATTGCTGAAGCCGCTGGCGCTTCGGGGATAAACATCACAGACAGCACCGGAAAGTGCTGCGGGCTTTTGGGAAGAGCTAGGCTTTGAGGGGGCCGCCGAGGGCGTGTGAGCAGGCGGGTCAATGCCTGAAGGGGCGCCGTAGGCAGTGCGTACGGTGCTGTACGGCTCTGTTTGCCGTGTGTGTTATTGTTGTTGTTGTTACATGGTCGTGGGTGCGTTCCCTGTACCTGGAAACCACCCTAATACGAGCCGAGGGCTCAAGGGCTGCCAGATCACCTATAAGCACCATCCTACCTCGCACTTCCAACGAAACAAGTGATGAAGGATACTAACGACCAAAGGGAACGATAGAGTTGCGGTGGGACCATATACGTTCCAGCATCCTTGCCAGGCGTTCAGGTTCCCACTTCATAGCGTCCTTCATATGCTCGGAGCGTGGGACCATATCAGATCAGATCAGATCTGATCTGATCATATCAGATCTGATTTTGTCGTACACCGGACAGTCCAGCAAAATGTGCTTCTCATCCTCGATAAGGCTATCAGTGCCGCAGCAAGGGCATACTCGCTCCTCCCTAGGTATATAACGCCGTCCCTTACGCGCTCTGTTAGTCGCCAATCCCCAACAGCAAAGCCTAAACTGCATAAGCTTGCGATTCGCTGAACGCGGGATAAACATTGTGATATGCGGGAGCACCTCCTTCCTGCCCGCTTGCTCGGCCGCCAGACCCATCCAATGCTTATACTTCGCCATGTGAATTCCTGGTTGCTTGCCGTCTGACGGGTACACGTCAGGCTGGACATCTAAACGCGTATGCTTCCAACCACTCACTAATCGGTCCTTGAACTCCAAAACCACACCTTCTGGCATTGGCCTGTCCATCAGCCACTCCACTCGTTCGCCTACCTCGTGTAGCCCTTGCGGGGTCTCTTTCCATACGTCGTGCCCCAGAAAATATAGAAAACGGAGGAGTAGTGTCCCCCATCCGGCCTCTTCGGGGTTGGAGAGGGACTCTGCGACCTCCTGTCGCAAAACTTGGTGTGCCACAGACCGGTGTGTGTTATGGCTGCGGCACCAGACCGCAAAGCCAACAGGCTGAAGGCTGGCAAGCTGCGATCGTGTCTGCTGAGCGTTGAGCATCCGGCCTGGACCGCGGACTTGGCGGCCGAGCCCCTGCTGTGTGTGTGTGTGTGTGTGTTACATGGTTGGGGGGTGCGTGACCCCATACCTGTAAGACTACCCATACGAGCCGAGGGCCCAAGGGCAATACTACAACGCCTAAAAGCCACGGAGAAAAAGGAAAAAACACCGCACATCAGCCCAGACTAACGTCCAAAGGGGGTAATTGAGTTTCGGTGAGCCCACATACGTTCCAACATCCTCGCCAGACGTGCGGGTTCCCATTGCATGGCCTCCAACATACTCTGTTGATGATCGAATCCCTCTTCAGCACGAATATCATTATAGGCTGGGCATTCCAATAACACGTGTTTTTCATCCTCAATTCGGCTATTAGGACCACAACAGTGGCAAAACCGCTGCCCCCTGGGGACATGGTACTTGCCCCTTCGTGCTCTGTTCGCCTCCAAAGCCCAGCAACATAAACGAAACTGCATTAGCTTACGATGTGCTAAACGAGGAATGAAAACCTTAGCATGTGTTGGCCACATGACGGCTGCGGCTCCCGAAAAGGGCAGCCCCATCCAGTGCTTATACTTCGCCATTTGCACTCCCGGTTGCTTCCCATCTGATGGGTACTCCTCTGGCAAGACAGTCAGACGCGTATGGTCCCAGCCGCTCATCAAACGCTCTCTTAGTGCCGTTATTATCGCTCCTTCTGGTAGAGGTCTACTCAACAACCAGTCAACACGCTCCTTTACCCCCCTGCTGTGTGCCGGTAACGGCACCTCAGACTCATACGTTTACGCCCAAGCAAGGGGCTGTCGGTGGCAGGTCGCGGACCTCCAGGCTATGTGTAACGGCCAATGACTCTTAGCCGTGTCTGCTAGGTTCCAGAGGCACCGCCTCTTCAACAGGTTATGAGCCCCGGCTTCCTGCCTCCCGCGCTCTGACAAGCATAGCTCCCACAGCATCAGCACTGCCGCAACAAGCACAGCTCCCACCACGTTGACAATACCCTAGCTACCGGCCTGCCCGCCCTTTTCCTGACATCGAGGAAGCCACCCGATAATTCCCAATAGTTCTGAAAGTGGTTATTACAGTTATCAAAGTGGACAGATCGAGAGATAAAAACGCCATGCCTTCTACGTTTATGTATGCATTCTTGATGGATGGACAAGCAAACAGACAGATTGACCTACAGACAAAACGGCAGGCCTGGGCAGGCATGTGCTTGGACAGATGAGACAGACGAGACAGACGAGACAGACGAGACAGACGAGACAGACGAGACAGACGAGACAGACGAGACAGACGAGACAGACGAGACAGACGAGACAGACGAGACAGACGAGACAGACGAGACAGACGAGACAGACGAGACAGACGAGACAGACGAGACAGACGAGACAGACGAGACAGACGAGACAGACGAGACAGACGAGACAGACGAGACAGACGAGACAGACGAGACAGACGAGACAGACGAGACAGACGAGACAGACGAGACAGACGAGACAGACGAGACAGACGAGACAGACGAGACAGACGAGACAGACGAGACAGACGAGACAAACAAACAATCCACTCATAAGGCTGGCCCGCTGGCTCTACTCTTCACTAGTCTGGAGCCCAATGTACCCCCCCCCCCACACACACATATACACATAAGGACTTCGCCCGCAAAACTGTCCGATTTTTTGACATTCAATTTGAAGGGCCTTCGACAGAAAATACGCCGGCTGCCGGAGGCGGAGCAAAGGCACGTTTTTCCCTTCCCGGGAAATCACAAAAGGCCATAATTGTCGACTCCCTGGATTGCGAAGGTTGATGATGGCTTTTGGTTTCGTCCAAAACCCCTGCCTGCAAAGTCTCTGCTGAAACTTTTTGTCTGCTGGCGGGCGCAGCGGCAGCAATAATGCGGACATGGTAGGTAAGGTCTAAGGCAACAAGAAAAAACAACAACGTAACAAAAATGTAACACTGTAAACATTGCCGACATGGAATAACCAGCAAGAACCAGCGTCCATCCGCAATATCCATTGATGTTAAGAAAGTATTCGCTATCGCATGCCCTCTTGGGGCATGCACCTTACGAACGAGCTGGATTAGAGTTAACTACCACAAAAAAAAGTGGCGACTGTGATTGTTCTTATAGTCCTTCATTACATCGTACGGAAGGTCCCTATCTATTAAATCAGGGCACATTGTGTAAACCACACACGACCGCGGTCGGACAGATCCCGTTGGCTACTGACACTGATGGGCGCTGAACCCTTGTCTGCTGACATTTATTTCAGGACAAGTCGGTTATGGTGAATTGGTGGTCGGTCAGTGCATCCACGAGTCAGCGGGGAAGGCCGCAGCAGCAGGCGGGCGCGGGCGAAGCAATAACGATAACCCTCTCAGATAGACCCCTCCGGGCCTCCGGCATCGATAAACTCATACGGCAACAGACGCACATGTTTGCATGCGTGATGTTGACATATGATGCTATGCATGATGCTATGCATGATGATAATGATGTTAGTGACGATGGTAATGGTGATTATTCATGCGTATCGATGAAATGGGATAATGCACGTCTAGGCAAAGCGTGACTTTACGAAGATGCAGAAGCCAAGCATCGACCAAGCATCGTTCCTGAGCCAAACGATATTTAATCAATACATCCACCAGGTAGAGCTGCCTAGGCCTGACTGACCTAGCAGTGCAGTGCCCGAGTCGCATGTCACTAACTTCGCAGAAATTGTCATGGATGTGAAGCATGAAGGTGTCCCAAAACATCGGGGAAGGTAGGGATTGCCAGGCTAGTAGTGGTCACGTTGAAGCTATATCCCCCTATTTCAGATCTCTATACTGCAAGTAGCGAAGAAGAGGCAGCAGCAGGAGAAATCTGCAAGTGTACAAGCCTATAGGAGAACTATCTATATCAACCTAAAATAGTGAATTACCCAATAACCTAAAAAGTAGTAAATCACCCATCAACTTAAAAATAGTACACAAAGACAATTAAGTAAGTACAATTACGAACATGTGCACAACACCAAAAGCATTAAGCAAGTTCTTTTCTTGGCGCACATCTCCCGGGACACTTGCCGTCTCTTAAAAACTTGTACCATAGCTCCTATATACCGCGAAAGACATGAACCAATAACCGCCAACCAAAAGCTGACAACCACCAACCACCAATCAACAGATAAACCCACTGCGCACACACGACATCTCTCTAGGTCGGTCAACCCCTGTTTCCTCAGCCGCGTGATGACATGCATATGGACAGCTTACCTCAGGACGTTCGCGGACACTCGGAGGCTCCCATCCCACAAAGCTTTGCCTCTCGAGAGGTGCAGCACAGAACCCAAAGCGGTCGCCGAGCTCTTGCCTTACTTGGCCGGGGGCCACAGCCCGGGGCCGCCAGTACTTGCAGGGCTCCGTACTCCCCGAGTCGTCACATAAAACTTTAAGACAGGCGCTGACCATAATGCATAAATAAACAATAAAAAGGTGTCTCGCGATAGATATAAGTACGCAGTGCGATCTAGTAACCAGAAAACTGCTAATTGACACCACATTCCCGGGCCGCTGCATTTCCCCCCATAGAATCTCACTTGTGGTGGGCAAAAGAGTGTCTCTGATTGAGTTCCGCTAGTCCATGCCACGGCGGGAATCCCGATAGATGGGCACACACTGGGCTCTGCTGAGCTACACACACACATACACACACACACACACACACTGTCCGCCACGTAATTCATACAACATGCGATGGATGGACGCGGTATGCAACGAAGCGCACAGCACTTCGTCCGTAAGACTTTTATCGTCTGTAGTATGTGCAGATCGTACATTAGATGGGTATCTGTTATACTAGGGCACGGTCTAAAGACGATGAAATCTTTTACAAACGATCTCAGCAAGCTGTCAGCGGTCTGTTAGACATATTCAAGGCTAGGAAGCTACCGGATCGGCGGGCGGAGGCGGCCCCAGAGCCGGAGCCTGAGCTGCTGTCGGCATCGAGGAGATAGCGTTCCCTGAACCATGGGCCAGACCCGACCCAAGGGTCGGTCCCGACCCCCCGCCCAGTCCCTGTCCGCCCAGTCCCTGTGCTGCACTTGACTGGGTACTTACAGAGCCATTATTGCTCAACAACGGACCGGACAGGAACTCAGGCAATGACAGTAATGGCGGGGTCGGATGCGGAGCTCCTGATGCTACGGATCGAGGTAACGATGACGAACGCTGCGCAGTACTTGCGTACGAGCTTTCAGAGCGCAGGTTGGATGGCAATTGAGTCCCGGCACCGACGGATAGCTGACGGCGCAGCCGAAGTGAGTGATGCTGCTGCCTCCGCAGGAGCTGCTGCCGCTGCTGGTGGTGGTCGAGGCGGTGTTTGTGCTGTGTTGGTTGCCACCATGGCCAGCCTCTCCTAGCTGACCCGCTACTCCCCGTATCCATCAGGATGTACACCTCGCCCTTTTCCGCCTCTGAGCCGGCCGTTGCGAAGGCGCCACTGGCGCTGCTGGTGCCACTTGCTGCGGCACCTGCTCTTGCATCATCGCCTTCTGCCGCCATCCCGGCGCCGGCGCCGCCGTGTCCTGCCAGTGTACGCCACCAGTACACGACTGTATCGCGACTTTGAAGGATCACCGTATCGTACTTGTGTGTCAGCATCGCTAGTAGCCTCAGCCCCAGGCCCAGGCAGAGAAGCGCAACGAGGGCATCCTTGAAAACTCGATGGCAGTAGCCGCGCGTAAAATTTGTCGTCAGGCGCATCAGTGTTAGTGCCGTATCGCCGGACATGTCTCCGTCAGGCTGAAGAAGGTCGCCGCGGAAATCCCGATCCATCCCACAGATCCCTTTTTCGCGGTACATCGCGGCAATCACATTGCGGTGTGTGGCCATGTAGTGGTCCAGCTCCGAAACCGTCAGTCCCTCCAGCGCCCAGCGGTTGTAAGACAAGCCCAGCAACGCCCCGGCTGGTGTCCCGCGTGCCACCGACAGCGACGGCGTGCCGAAGCCATTCAGCAGTCCACCAGCGATAAGCGTTGTGAGCACCGCCGCCGTCGGTGCAGCTGCAGCTGGCACAAATGGTGAGTCGGACAACAAGTACGAAAACCCCGAAGCCCACCACCATACACCGACGCTGATAGCATAGTACGACACGAATGAAGCGTGCGGCACCGTCAGTATATAGTACGGCAATGTAAAAATGGCGGGCGCCGCCAGTATCCAGGGTAGATCAACCATACACCGCGCCGTGAAGTATGCAGTGGGCGAAAGCCCTGCACCGCGTTCCCGACGCAGTACCAGACGGTTGGCGATGAAGGCTCGGAGATGCTGTACGACAGCCAGCACGGCAAGACACATCATGGCCATGACGATGTTCCCGGGTACGGCAGTAGGTCCCCACTTGTTGCCTTGGCTGGCGCCGACAGCCGCGGCTGCGCCCAGCAGCAGCACCACTTCTAAAACTGTCACCGGCCAGAAGGCGCGGGTTGCCTGAGATGGGAACCCATGGCAGTAATGGTCCGCAGCGAACAAGATACATAACAGCGGAAGGGGGGGGTAAAGGTAGTTTCAGGCGCATGGCGTGGCGCCAGCACGAGAGAGGGGGCTCGAGGTCTCGGAACCTCACACCAACCGTCGAGGTGAAGATCGGCGCATACCGATGTTATGTTGAGGTCGTGCAGCAATATCCACGTCATATTGAAATTGAACGGCAAGGTTGGTGTATATACATACATACACATGTCATGTCATGCCGGCAATATTGACAGGATGTTACATTGCGATGTCGATACAAATTTGTGATTACATCGTGTGGCAAAATAGACAGGGGAGACCTCATGGAGAAGCCCTAATTACGAGATAGGACCCAAACGCCCCTGCCAAATGTACCTGCACCGTCGCTCGCTTCAGGAAGATCCACAGGTGCGACAACCAGCCGGTGTTGCTGTACGAGGTGGTCTGCAGTGTCGCCAAGTCCTTCTTTCCCAGGTCGCATCTTTTATTGTTGGCGGCCTGTGCGCTGCTGTCGCGGCTCTGGCAGCCGTCCCCATGTCCATTGCGGGTATCGCCACAACCAGCCGCCACGCCATTGCCCCAGGCTAATCCGCCACTGGCAGGTGCGGCTGCGACTCCGGCACCGCTGCCAGGACTCGCATCCCCGAACTCAATTTTGGCGGCAACGGTGCCCGCACCAATGCTATCTGCACCCGTGGACAGGCGGTGGCTAACGCCGTTTTGATCTTCTGAGGCGCTGTCCCCGCCGTCTGGCCTTCTTTTAGGAGGCGGCCGCGGATGCACGACGGTGACGGTTCCATTGTCGTTTGCGCTGTCCCCTGAAACGATGCTGCTGGCAGCTCTCACACTGCAAACCACCGGGCTAGCGTGGCTGCCGGTCCCGCTGTCGTTGCCGTTGCCGGAGGTGCCATGGACGGCGTCCGTTGTCCCCTTCAGCTCCGCCGCAGATTCTGGTGACGGACCGGCGGGTATGAAACCCCTTGTACTCTGCATCTTGGAAACGGGCGCCTTCTCCGATTCCTGCTGAACGCCAAAAGGAATATTTCAGCGTATTTTGAGGATCCTAGTTTAGCGGGTCCTAGGACGGGTTTGACTTGCCTTTTGGTCACCGCATCCCCTCTAACGAGAAAGGCGTTCTGCGTGTACGGCGGCGCCAATGTATCAAACTTGCAACGATGGCAACCTCTGCCTATATCAGAGAATGTGTGGAAATGGGACTCCTTCATGGACGTTTGGATCCACGTGCTCATTCATCCTAACCCGCTATGTAGATCAGACTTGGCGACATGCGTTGGCTAGCCAAGGACTAGCTAGTAGTTCAAAATGTTTAGCCAGCCAGCTTGGCGCCTAACAAGGTATAATCACCTAGAGGGGTACGGCTAGGCTGCTGAAATGTACACAAGGCAGCAGGATAGCAGAGGAGCTGGAAGCGTAAAAATACCAATCGGTAAATTTGCTTGCCGGAAATGGCAAATGGCAATGGTGCCACATCCAATTCTATCTAGCCAGCTACGTAACCAGCTCTGCCTCCTGGCTTGCTCGCAGGCAGGTAGGTAGCTGGGTACAGGTGAACCAGCTAGGGTGAATCAGCCAGCCAGCTAGTTAGCTAGGTTAATTCATCCACTTTAGACAATGACCCAGCTAGTTGGCCGTCGGGATATATAGCTTCTTAGGTCGAATGGAATCCTTCGCACCAGGATTATTTGGCTGGAGCTGCCGCCGCCACCGCCGCCACCGCCGCACCCAGTGGAGGGACCCTGGCCCGTAGTGACCGCGCGGGAGCCATTGACGGATAGTCCGTCTTTATTTCCGCCGCCAGCGGCGCCGCCGCTATCGCCCTTTATCTCAACCCCTCCACCGCTGCCGCCTCCATGGCCGCTATGTACCGAGTTGGCTTTTGTGGATTCGTCTTCGAAGGCCGAGAAGATATGACCTTCTCCTTCCTCTTCATGGATGACCTCTTGTTGTACGCCGCCGTTCTCTCGGGTCCCTCCTTCGTACACTCCGGCGGCGGGTGAGCGGAATGAGGACGCATGCGCCTGACAGACGGACGTGCACAGACATAGATGGATAGATGGATAAACTCAAGGGCGTACGGATGTGGTGCGTAATGTAACGGCGTACAGACTTTTGGATGGTGAGGACACGGTATTGTTCTTTGTGGCTAAGGCGTGCCGTCAGAACAGGACGGACGGACGATCGAAAACTAGAAACAGACTCACGGACGGACGGACAGATGGGCAGATGGACGAGTGGACAGATGCAGGAACTGTCCTAGCCTTCTCACTCGTCCACCCCACCTTGGTGAGTTGGAACCGCTTCGCGGCAGCCGCAATGGCCACCTCGACCTCTGCCGGGTTGAAGCGTGCCCGCCGAGTACGCCCAAGCTGCGGCCGCAGGAAGCCTTGGCCGCCGCTATCCGCGCCGCCACCATTGCCGGTATTACTACCGTGGCCATAACCGTTGACATAGTCGCTGATACCGCCGCCGCCTCCGCTGCCGTCAGTGGAATGGTTGACCTCGCCGCCACCGCCACCGCCACCTAAACCACCTTTTGTAACGTCCCCGCTGGAACCGTCAACGCCACTAACGTGCCTGGCGAAAGCTGATTCCGGTAAGAGAGTGTTCGGCCAATGGCTGAAACCGGAATTGAAACTGGACTCGCTGCCATCGACTGATGTTGCTTGGCCGCCGCTTGCCGCTGTTACAGATTCCGAGCCTGCTGTGCGGCGGCTGCCAGCACTGGCGTCTGCTGTGGCGGGCCTGTCCAGGCTGCCGCCACCGCCACCGCCGTCGCCGCCGCTGCTGCTGCTGCTGCTGCCGCCAAGATTCCAAGGGAGTTTCGCCCACGAGACGCGAGACAGCAGCTTGCCCGAGAACAGTCCATGAGACGTGTTTCCCTGTATGGAACACACAAATTAAGGATAATCGTTTGTCTGTCAAGCTCCACAACATCAACAATTGAGTGATATGGTAAATACTAAGATGCTGATACAAAGTGTGGGTTTCCCACTGTATATCGGAGAGAAACATACGGGGTGGGTGTTGTGTGCAGCTGACGGCGGCGAAGCGTCGGCAGTAACGACTCCGGGACATGCACACGTACTGCCGTACATCTGTACGGAAGAGCTAACATCGCTGCTAACATTCCAACCATCAGCAACGCGACGAGGAGTCCTCCACGACATTCGTCCATTCGATACCACAAACACAATTACCACCAACAGCACTGCATCACCACCACCACCGTCAATAACACGACTTGGCGCGTAACCCTCCCCGAGAGATATTTAGCCGCTGTGTTATCCCGCCCGTCGTTCATGATCTATCCCTTAACACCTAAAGGTGACTCGCAATGCCCTTGGTCGTAACATTACTGCGTAGGGGAGTATCTCTGATCGGTGTTCATGCTGCGCGGTCCGGTCTCGACTTCGGCAGTGAGGGCGCCATAGTCACCTATGATCCTTCCTCGCACGTGGGGCTATAAACCTTTGATTTAGAATCCGACATAACTCGAAATACCATATAATATAATAAGTTTATGAAAACCACTGCTACAATCACCATTGTTTTGCATTCTTCTCCAACATCAATAGCCCACTTCCCACCTGCTGCAGAATTGGCAGCCGTGTGGAAGAGCCGCCTTCCGAAGCACCTCCCGGCCCCGCCGTCACCGGCGGCACCGCGATGTTGCCACCACCGCCACCAGCGTTGGAAGCACCGTCATCCCCGCGCGAGGGTGCTTCGGCAAAGTTGGTGCCGCCGGCGACAGAGGCGTTGGATGTGTCCATGGAGTTTGCGCTGCGGTACTGCTGGAGCACCTGGTCGGAAGTGGCCGCTGAGGATGGATTGAAAAGCCGCCTGAACAGCGGCATATGGGATGTAGAAACCTGTGGGGCCGGGTTATTGGTGGCTGATGATTACAGCATGAAGGCGGGGAGGTCAAAAGATAGGCATGTACGCTTGTACGACATCAGGCGGAGATTGCGATTGCACTGCAGACAGGGAATGCGGTCACAACCTGAAGGAAACATGTTTTTGGTTTTCAAGTCTGGCAGAGCTCCTTGCGTGCCGTGTTTTCCCGGGCCCCTCCCCCTCATTGTCGTTTACCCGGTCAGCAATGCGCTCCGCGTATCAACTCCTGAGAGCCACGCAACTTACAAATGCCGTACAAACATGTAGATATGCAGTATGAGCGAAGTTGGTACATATGATGCATGAGACAGATTCGCCAAATCAATCCGTACATAGAGCATATGTTAGGGAATGGGCATTACTGGTAAGGCGCGACCATTGCCCCCGAGAGATCCCGGGAACAATACCCGTCAGGGTCAATAAATCTTCCGATGGTGGAAGGCATTGCGCCCCTAGTTGATGGACGGTGGTGACCTGGGGTAAAGTTAACCTGCCAGCCTACCAGGAATGGAGATGGGCCGCTGTCGACCCGGCAGATTCCGTTGGATGCTGGTGGAGGGTGCGGAAATGGACTAGGGTGACTGTATGAGGGTGCCCCGAAATACCGGGGAAGGCAGAGTTTCGCAGGGTAGCTGCCACGGGTGAAGATACACCCCCCTGTTTCACACATCACAGAGCATATACCGACCACGCACGCATTCGTACACGACGCACCCGGGTCCTGCCGGTCCTGTCTGTCATTGCCGACGTACGGGACAAGGCCAGGGAGGATGCCGTACTGTCACGTGTTTCCAGCGGGGACGCCACACGCGTTGGTAACTTTGGAGTCACCGCAGCTGCCGTCATCACCGAGTTTTGGAAATCCAGGGAAACCGTGCCCAGAAATGAGGAGGAGCGCGATACCACGTTACGGTTAAAAATGTTGGACGCCGCGCGTCGGAACTTGTGGGTTAGCACCTGCACGGTTGTTCATAATACAGAAGGGAGCATCATACCATTCACTGTCACTTCATTTTGGCGTATGCACATGCTTTGTCGATGCTACAGTCATATGTTTTACGCGACATCAGCGCACAGAAAACAACACGAGCGTGTACAGCACAAAAGGTGGTCGCATGACGCGCACGAGCAGCTTGTATAGTAGAAGAGTAGTAGTGTTTTAAAACCCTAAGGTCAAGCACGCGGTGCACTGGTACCGCGTCAGCAGGAAAAAGAACCCTGTTTATCCCCCAGCGCCGTTTCTTGACTCAGGGCGACTGAGCTGACAGCGAAACCGAAAGTACAGGCCTTCCAACCCCGCGAGGAAGCTGGCACTAAGCTTGCCGGCTACAGCCGTATACAAGGATGCACATTGCCCGGGGAAGGAAGGATGCCATGCACAAAGATGCGCTGCGCATGGTCATGGACTATGACCGTTTACCTTGCGGCGATTTCCCCCCTTGGGCGCAGGGCGACATGTCGATGGGTTTTAATCTTTTTTTTGTGTGTAAAAGTCTCGTTTTACCTCTGAACCATTTCCGCCAACAATGGCCTCCGCCCGCCCGGACTAGGCTGCCTTCTTATCGCCCTGCTTCCGCAAAGAAAGGTGTCGCATCTGTGGTGACTTGGTGTACTACAGAAGCTGTGTGCGTACCAAAGTAGCCGATGAGGCAAGGCCACCGCAGTGTGCGTCGGCTCTGTGCTCTTGTCGGCCGAGCGGGTGCTCAGCAGCAGTGTCCCAAGTGCGTGGTACGGGCTAACACGCAACTACGATAACCAAGCCTACAAAAGCCAATAAACCCTAAAAACTCCACTAGAAACCACAAACAGTCCATCGGTCGTCGCCGCAATTACCACCTCCCTCCCGGGACGTACCTCCAGCGAGGAACTTGCTGCCGAAGCTATCCGCCGCAGTGCCTGCCGCTCCGCATGTGCCGCTGCCGCCGCCTCCGCCTCCACCGCTGCCTGTGCCCTCAGCTCCTCCGGCGACGGCGCCTTCAGGTCTCCTTGCGCCACTCGCAGCAGTGTGTCGATCAGTAGAGCCTTGCTGACAACCACCAATCCCGCCGGCGACGGCGCCACAGCCTCATGCCCTGCTGTCTGTGGCGACAGCGACGCCGAGCCCTGTTGTGCGCGGTGAGCCTGAACGTGTTTGGCGAAAATCAATGATAAGAATTAAAGCGGAATTTTTCCAAAGGCGAGGAGCTGCCTGCTGCATGTGGCGCGCCTCAGAAGTCCAGTCGGCACCTCAGCACCTCAGCCCGCAAGCCATTAACCCTATCCGAGCCCGCACCCACAGCCCATTCGCCTAACCACCAGCAGTTTTAATCCATGCCTGCAGCCCCCACGCCTATATCTTTCTTTGCGAGTTTCACCCCTTCCACCCCTTCCACCTGCGCCACAAGTGCCACCAGGAGCTTCGCATCCTCGTCCTCTTGGCCCAGCTTGATGAACAGCTGCCGAAGCTGGTCAAGTGTCAGACCATCTGGGGCAGTGACAGCAGCGGAGGCGGCACTGGCCAACGCAGGTTGCTGGTGGTGGGGGTCGTTCCTCGCGGATTGTAATGAGAAGGAACGCGACATGTTCGCGACGGCTGGAACTCCGGCTGCTGCTGCCGCTGTTGACGGCGCTGCGGGTTTGCCAGATGCCGTCCAGGCACGCCAGGCGGCGGAGGCGGCGTGAGTCAAGTTCCATGTGGTGGAGCGATCCACCACCAAACGATCAAACTCCGCTTCTAAAATCGCTTTTATATCTTCCGTGAATTCCGGGCGGTAAATATCGCCACCGGCGGTGGCGGCGACGGCGGCGGAATAGCCATCTGTGGAGGACCCACAGCTGCGCAGGCCGCTACCCGCAACACTGTTGCACCAGCTCATGTTTGCGAAGGGGCTCTTCAGGGTGGACGGGGTCTTGAGGTGGCCCGGAGAGGTGGCGCCGGAGGGTGCTGCCGAGGTGGGGCTGGTGGGTGGGCCTCCGGGACGGGGGGAGGAGGGGGAGCCGAAGAGCATGGCGGTAAAAGTAGAAGTGGCGCCCGTGCTGCCTCCGAAGGTTGCAGATTTCATTCGCTCCTTCCATCGCCTAGGTAGGTCCTTGGTAAGACAGTTCTTGTTGACGATCTTGCCTGCGTGCAGGTCGATATAGGTCGATAGATCATGATCGAGAGTTCCATCGGGAACCAATAAGGAGCAAAGCGTCAGCGGGAAAAGTGAAAGGCGATGTAGTGTGCAGTGTTTGAACACGGGTTGAAATCCGGACGATGTCAAGCTGGGTCATCTATTTTTAAAACTTTCGCTCCTGCTGCCTCCCCGCAGTGTTAGATTGTGACGACGCAGGGAACATATTGAAGTGTGGGAACGGTAAGTGTCAAAACGGGGCTGATGCGGAATGCGTGAACCCGAGAGATCGTGTACGTGTATGTGGATTCGTCGGTGATAATCGGTCGGTAAGCGCTCGGGGACACAAGAATGCCGGGGCAAAAACGTAGTTGAAATGTCGCACGACGCTGTACGGCTATGCAAGCGAGAAGAAAATATACAGCTAAGGGAGCCATGCGGGTGTAGTATTGAGCCAGAATCGCGTGCTAGCTACTGCTCCAGAGTCAACCAACGGAACGAAGGGTAGGACCGGGACATGGGATGAGGCTAGGGATTAAACACCGTACGCAACGTTGCTAGCTCAGGCACCCGGGCAGCTCGGCAAAAAGGGCAAGAATCGTGACAAGGGTTACAGTTAGGACGATACCTCGAGGGGAGCACCTGGGTGGTGGGCTTTTGTCAGATTCTGTGAGCTGCCTGAACCGCTGAGAGAGCTTAAAGGACCGTCGCTCAAAAGCTATACAGATACGAGAACGCCTCCTAGGCCAAGGCCACCGCTTGCTAAGCACATGCAGCCTGAAATACAGCTTCCGTTTGTTCACCCAGTCGGCCAGCCCAGCCCGGCCCCGGCGCGGCTGTTTGAGCACTTGCGCGGGAGATCCTTCAGGTCCCGTATAGCGGGCTCGGTCGTTCATTTTGTCTGGTCTGTTCTGGTTTGGTTCATTTTTGGTCTGGTCTGGTGACACTTCTGCAGTTATCACCGGAAGGTTACGGATGTCGGTACGGCTGACTGGATGAGGTGGGTCTAGGTAGCAAGACCAAGTAACCACCGTCGGTTGTACGGTGGAATCAACTATCAATATATACATATCGTCCATGGCCTCCCGGCTTTGACGGACAACCCCGCACTCGTGCGGCACTTGTAACTTTTAGTGATGTGCTCCAGTCACCTACCAGTAACAATGTCTAGGAGTGTATCAGCCACGTTCTCGAACGGCGGGAAGGAGTACATCAGGCTCTCGAAGTACTCCCGTACCTTGCCAGGTGGGCCATGGTACACTGTGCTGCCACTCTCTCCTAAAAGGTGAATCTGAGGCAGGAATTGCAGTGGTATGGTAGCGGCCGTAGCGACAGCGGCGGCCGTGGTAGCGGTGGCAGCCGAAGACAACGGTGAATTACTACTGGGATAACGAGCGCGTGTATATGCTTAGGTAGCATGTTGTGCATCGGTGCGAAGGCAGGACGTGCTGTCGAATATTCTTCCCGGTCGTACCCTGTCGTACCGCTGCCATACCTCATGAAACATGTGGAATACGGAGTGACGAGGCTGGTGGATGACGGCCACGACGTTGACTCCGCCGTTGACCGCAAGGTCCAGGAGTGATCGCAGTACGACATTGCTACATGAGGCGTCCTGAGGGTTTGTTGGTTTCGGAGTGATGGCAGCAAGTAGCACATGCAAGCAGCGTATGCAAGTATACGTTTTGTCACTAACTCATTTTACCCTATTGACGAGGACACACGTTTTCACGCACGTGCACGGAAAATACATACGGCATGCTGCATAAGCGTCCGTGTTAAGCGTCCCTGTTTCTGCTGTCCCTGCTTGTCCTACCGCTACACCAGCCCTAACAACAACTGTTTGCTGTGCCGTGCATATCTGCTCAAATGCTGTCGAGGGATGTTCCTCCGCCGGGTGCTGCCTGAAACAGTCAACGTCTCCGCCCACAAGGGGAGATCTTCCCTAGGTCGACCTGCAGTCACTGCTGGCCCTGCTGCCATTTTAGTAAAACTCAGCAGGCGATCGAAATTCCAAACACAGCCACACCCAGCCACACCCAGCCACCCACCAGGCCGCTGGTCGGCTCGTCCAGGAAGAGCAACGGGGGCCGCGATACCAGCTCCACTCCGATGTTAACTCGCTACAGGAGCGGACAGACACACGTACATGCATACAAACACGTATATTTACGTATAGTTGTATACGCATACATACATACATACGTACATACGTACATTTGAGAAAGCAGCCGGGGCAAGCTGGTTGCCGCACATGCCAGTATGTTCGTACCTGTCGATATGCCTGGGTCCCTAATGCCTTTTCGTTTATGTTGCTGGCCGCTTGAAGCAAATAGATCTCTTAAGAGAGGATCGCACGTGAGCGGCGAACCTGCAAGCTAAATTTGCGAAGGACTCCAAGCCGCGGAGGACGAGGTGCATGCATTCTTGCGATGGTATCGGTTGACCAGCTGAAGTTGGAAAACCTTATCTAGAACAGCACCCGCACGAATATGGAATACGGGATACGCACCTTGCGCTGGCCACCGCTGATGATGCGTGCGCCGACGCTGCCCACCCTGTACGACTGCGCCATACGCAGTGCCATCATACCCAGCACCTCATTTACCACTTTGCGCCTCTCCTCAAGGGAGGACAGCGCCATGGGAGCCCGCAGGCTTCGAGGCAGGCGGTCCCAGCCCACAGCAGCGGCCGCCTTGCGACTCATGGGTTGGTTGGCCCCTCCGCCGCCGCCTCCGCTGCCTTCGGCCCCACCTGCAGCCGCAAGGCATCCGGATAAACTGGACCCTTTACTTGGAAGCGGAATAGAATGGTGCGTGAAATGATGCATAAGAAAGACGCAACCTACGCAGGTATTCTCCTTTCCGGTACCTTGGGGAATCCATGTTCCGTTTTGAAACGTACGAAGACATGCATGAAGGCCCGCACCTTCTTTCCTCGGGGGGGCCTTCCGCTCGACACGCATCGGCAGCCGCAGTGCAGCACTGTACTCGAGATTCTCCCTGAGGCGGAAAAAATCAAAAAGTGATCAAGGACGCAAACCACAAACGGCGGTCCCAGTGGCAACACACACACACACACACACACACACACACACACACACACACACACACACACACACACACACACACACACACACACACGCGCGCGCGCGCGCACACACACACGCATCCGCGCGCGCACACACACACACACATGCGCGCACACACACACATACACACACATACACACACACATACACACACACGCACACACACGCACACACACACACGCACACACACATACACATACACAGTTCTAAAAGTGATCTTCCATCACCGGCGTCCGTCTCGAGTTTCGCGGACACAGATATTCGTTGCTTCTGTTGGCCAACGGTAACAGTTCATACCTGCCAAACATCACTAACCGATTAAACCGCTAGCCCCCCAAACAGTGTAAGCGGGTTAAATCGGTGGTGTAAGATCTGAAGAATGGTTCCAGAAGGATTGCCTAAGCCAGCGGTGGCAAGTGTCTTGGTGAGCGGCTCTTGCCGCCATACGACATTCCCGAGGCTCTGCCTGCGCGTCTAAGTCTAAGCCTCTAAACTCTACCCTCAACCCACCCGCAATACCTACACACCTTACAACGCACATAAGCCATACTCATACAAGCTACACATGCCAGTGCTCCCCTCCCATACATACATACATGCATGCATGCAGACATATAGCTGCACATGCCAACGGAGACGTATCGCCATATGAGCTCATCGACATCGGAAAAGGTGATAAGCGAACGCAGTCCTGCATAATGCTGCCTTTTTGCTCAGCTGTGGCCCCCCGCATCGATCTAAATTCCCTATATTAGGAGAGTGGCTTGACGGGCGGTCGGCCAGGTGTCGGCGGCCCGCATCAGCGCCGGTCCGAGATGCGCGTGTATTATCACACAACCTAGAATGAACTTCACACTTCCTACTTATGTTGCGCTTTGACACAGGTGACGGTGCTCCCTTACAACAGTCATATTCGTCCACAGTGCATGCACGTTCTACGGAACCCATGCCATCCTCCGTTGCTGCCCTCCGCTACCTCCCTCCTGAACCACGTCTCATTCCCTCACCTCACCTGCCCTTTCCCGAAAGCCACTTCACTCACCGAATCGTCAGATCCGCACAGACTATGTCGTCCTGGGGCACGAACCCCACCACGTAGCAAATCTCCCGCGCGTCCCGAACCTCCCGCTGCATCCCCGCCCCAAGGGCGTTGATGTTGAAGTTGCTGCTCCCACTGCTGGCGTTCTTTGCGTTGCTACGGCCGCCCTCCCTGTCTCCACCACCAGCTGTCACTCCTTCTTCTCCGTCATTTCCTGCCTCTCCGCCGTCGCCAGGAGGCCCCCCTCCCTCGTTCCTTAATGTCACGGTACCCCGGCTGCTGCTGCCTCGGACTGCCCGCCCCGCAAGCAGCGCTAGGAGACTCGACTTGCCGCAACCGGAAGGGCCGAGGATGGCGGAGAGGTGGCCGGCCAGGAAGCGGCCTGCAAGTTCGATGCGGATGTGCATAAGTAGTGTACTTAATAAGGTGGAGTCAATACTATGGCCCCTTAGCTCAGCTGGTTAGAGCGTGGTGCTAATACACCAATAGGCACGCCAAGGTCATCGGTTCGATCCCGATAAGGGCCACAGGTAGTGTTTTTGTGGGCAGAGTATCCTTTTCTTCCCGTAGCCAGAGGTGGGGAATGATGATGGCTACCCGCGGAACTATTCCCGGCAGAGTTTATGGCCGCTCCAACTTCTCCGGACACACCTGCACTTGCAAGCGGAACTCCTATCTTTTAACTTGGTTCCGTGGGGGGGTTCATGAGGGCCCGTCGGGACTTATATATACTACGTTATGACGAAGGGTCAGCCGACGTACGGGTGTCCCAAGGGATTATAATCTGAACTGGAGGGTTCCGTGTGCATGCGTATTTGGCAATGCAATCAACAACAGTTCACGAGAGCTATGACTCTATGACTCCCCGCATGTTTGAGTAGGGGAGCAGTGGAACATGCCTGGCCATTCTAAAGGTTGCATGGCAGCAGTAGCGGATGTGAAAGCGTGTAGTGAGTAGCGCAGCGGATGCAACAGCGCTAACCAGCGAATGCGCCAACCGTTGGCAGCTGGTGGTTGATGCCGCACCTGACACGCCGTTGAGAACCAGATTGCCATGCGGTTGACCGTTGGCCCTCCACGTGAGATCCTCAACCGCCAAGTGGTAGCGCTGGATTGCACCCAGATCAGGATAGGCGGCCGTGACTGGCTGGCGGTTTAAGTAGGCTGCCGGCGGGTGGAGGGGGGTAGATCAAAGAGGCGATAAGATCGCGTGCTTGCACATATCGGCAAGTATGTCCCCACAAGCATCGAATTGGCGGGGGCATCAGTTTGCCCCAGGAAACGTAAAAACGGGACGGATACGGCTCTTGTAAAGCCCTTCACCCCTATCTCCAGGCTAACCCCAGCCCCTCATCTCTAACCCAACCCGTCCTCTAAGCAGACCCCAGCCGCCACCCCAAGTCTACATCCTCCTTGACACCGCCGACACCCTTTTCATTCCAGCCCATATCCCGACCTTTACGGCCCAACAGATTACACACCTTCACCCCTCGCCCCAGCCCGCAACTTCCCTCAACCAGAACTTACACACAAGGTCCCGCAGCGCCCGCTCGCCCCGCGACCGCCGCTCCTGATCCGTCTCCGCGTGGTGCTTACTGCGGTCCAGGGAGCGCACCAGCACCGCGCACAGCGCCGTTGCCACCAGAATCCCACAAAACACAGCCACTGTCGCCGGCCAGACGCGCGGTGCAATAGAGCCAGCAGCACACAGTGTAAGGGGCGGACAGCTCGTGGGCTGGATGCTCTCCGCGCGGCAGTAGTGGCCAGGAGGGCAAAGGATCTCCAGAGACGGGTCGGGGCAGTAGTAGCCGGCGCTGTGGAGAAGGGTATGAGGGGAGGCAGTAGAAGGTAGGGGTTTTGTGATTGATTGCGGGGCTTGAAGTACATAGGGCGGTAATAAAGGGAAGGGGAAGGTCATGAAGGGGCATGAGTCACGCCTATGCCAGACAGAACGGTGAGCCAGGCAGGATGTGAAGGTGGTCAGGAAGGTAAAGGGAAGATGCCGTGGGATCTCCACTGCTAACTGCGCAACCGTTTGGGGTTTTGGTGATGGGGCGCTATCAGCCGTGTGCGGTTCAGCCTGTGTAGCACACACAGGAACGCACGCACCGCATTGACACAGAAAAAATCCTTCTTATCTGGTATAAACTCGCTTGGAAAAGGTAGAGAACGTGAAAGTCTTTGATTAGCTTGTCAAGGACACACGCCCGACAGCTTCATCAGGACTACTCGAGGTGCGTCCAGTCCACGTGTTGGCAGGGCCCCCCACGCTATGCGTTTTAGCAAATGCAGCATCCACTCCAATTTGATAACACCCTAAGAGATACATACATACATACATGCACACACACGCACATGATCGCCTGCGCATTAACCGCGCGCCCACCTGCATCTCCGATTGGGCAACGTGGAACCGTTGGGGCAGTAGTTGCCTCGCACCGGCTCCCGCTCTTCCAGCAACTTGCGAATAACCTCCCGGTACGGCAGCGAACCTTGGAACGGCAGATCGGTAGAGCCCTGTGGAAGCGGTATGACGGGGTATGGTGGTTTATACGTACGCGAGTGCTTGTGGCAGGAGATATCAGGTATGTGCGGTATGGTGTTGCAGGTATATATTTGCACAAAGCGGGCACATACATGCGGTGGTGATACTCAGGAGTGAGGGAGAGCCCCACAGATGCCCGCGGGAGAGAATTCAAGAGGATTCAAGAGGATTCAAGAGAGGAGAGGAGAGGAGAGGAGAGGAGAGGAGAGGAGAGGAGAGGAGAGGAGAGGAGAGGAGCAACACCCGGGAGGCTGCCTATGCAGTCGAAAGGGTTGCCAGGTGGACGGTGGCCTTCCGTTAAAAAAATTGCGTTTACGTGTGGGGCGAAGATTCGTACATGTAGCAGTAGTAGAAACAGGTGATGTATGTCGATAGATCATCCAAACCACCTAACCTCCAACGAACGTAACTGGCGAAACCCACCGTGAGCCCCTGGATGAGCAGCTTCTCATAATCGCAGGTGGTAGGCGAGGTGGCACGCGAGGGGCAGAAGTAGCCGGCGGTGCAGGGGTGCGCCTCTGACGGCGACGGACAGAACCGACCGGCGGGACAGTCCAGGGAGGACATGATGCCGTCCCGCTCCTCCACGAAGGTACCCTCTGGACAGTATGTGCCCGGCTCGCATGCCACGCAACGAGCCTGACACGAGGCCAGGTGTCATAGGCATCGCCAGCCAAGTTTGGGTATAACAGCGGGTCGGTCGGGGCGAGGTCAGTACGGCGGCTTAATGAACAGCTAGCAGAGTGGGCGTGCGTGGGTTTGAGTTCGAGAAGGGAGGACTGTTGGTCGAAGGGATCGAGGGTTGAAACTTTGTTTGCCTTGCCAATATTGTTCTTGTTCTTGTTCTCATTTTTGTTCTTCTTCTTCCTCCTCTTGTTCTGCAATTATGAAGTGCTGTGTAATGCTGCCCCAGCACGGGCTGGGTAGCATGGCTCACACGTACTCAGTCACTGCACGCCACCGTAGCAG